GTTCACCGTTAGCCTTTTCAGCATCATTATATTTCTCGATAATCATCAATTAGACAATGACTTCCGACCACCGTCAGTGATTCAACAACGTGTTCCTGAAGATGGCATAACGCCGAAACGTTGAACTTTGTAAATGACATCTCTATTTGCGCTGGTAATACATTGTCAATAAAACTATATTACTATTTGATCTTCCGCTTATTGTAATTGTAACAAAACACGATACCGCGCCATGTTTAGAAGTACTCTGAATGTTAATTAAAACACGATCATTTGAAAAAATTGATTAATCAATGAATTAATTAACAATAAATTGATCAGTTAAAATGGCTGCATACACGATATATTATGAGATGTAGCGCAAATCAAACAACGTACAATATATACAAACATAGTATTTGAAATGGCATTGCAATAATATACAATTAGCAAGTGAGTCAATCGTTCCTTATAGCGACAAACAAATCGACACAGTTACTTCGAGTAAAATGGGTCTCCATGTAAATGTAATGTAAACTGCCGCACGTCAACTAAATCACTCGGTAACATCAAACATCGCATCACTACCAAAATATCATTAATGATAAGAATGTCAAGCATGTCAACTAAATCTGCTGTGCAAAAAATTCAATTCCATTGCTTGGCTTTCTTGAATTCGTAAGACTGCGTTAAATTTGCTCGACTTGTTCATTTGAATGGATGAGCTCACTATTGAGATTAGCAGTGAACCGTTGATTTTTTTTTTGATGAACTACAGCTAAATGCTTAATTTGAGTCAGGTTTTCAATTTTCTCCATGCCTAATAATTAGAAAATGCGATTCGATTGAGTCAAGGTCAACAGTAAGTGCTGTATGGGAGTTGGGAAAGCTCACTGGATGAGAATGAGGAGATGTGTTCATTGTAAGTGAATGAATACAAACAAGATTATTCCTGCATCCAAATGGGTAACGATCGAAATCGATCACTATGCGCTGCTTCTAAGTGTAACACCAACGACGTTATCACATGATCGCACATCGAACAGTAATGCAATCTGGATTTCTTGATCGATTCCAGCGTTGAACTACTGCTATCCTCAAAGTAAAACAGTATGCTTTAATTGAGCCATGCTATTGCTCGGAAGAAATAACTTTTTCTATTCAAATAACAGCGCCATAATATTAGGCGAACGAGATATTGCATAAGGATCGAAAGCAAGAAATTGCGTTTAAAAATCTTTCAAAGCAAAATTTTAAAAAATTCCAGTAATTAGGTTCGTAACTGGTTTCAAACATAGTCAGTTTTAATCGGCAATCGAGACTGATTTGAACACAGCACAGTGGATTATAACTGACAATTATCAATTGGAATATGCATTCAGAGTCTCCAAATATTCCATTTGTAGTAAAAATGAGCGGATATAGACTCACTTTGCAATCCATTTCGATGTGTTCGTCGGCAATTGATTTCCAAATGAACCATTTGGTCTGCCATTCAACTGTTGCATCCAGGAACGGCATCAATTCTCCAATTGATCCGAATGAAAGCTGAGAATAAAATCCAGTGTCAACTTCTTCGACGTTAACTTACGTAAACATCTTCAATTGTTCCGGAACTGGCAAACCGTAGAAAAATTTTTTTTCGAAAGCTTATTTTCTGTCATACAATGATAAAACCAAAAAAACATTACTGTAAAGTCGACGTGCATATCGTCTTTGGTAAAGCCCTTCATCGCATACAATACAAAATTAGAGGCGCATTGCCGAGTCATCGCTTCAAGCACGATAATGTTAGGTGAAGACTTCCAACGCCCGATCAAGGTAGCAGTTAGCTTCAGTTGGTCATCCGAAAGATTTTGTAGAGCACTCTCGGCAGCCAGCGAATGCAAACTACGTATCATTATTTCGTAGAACAGAACTGATTCACGATGCTAATCGAAACCAACTGGAAGCGAATAGTGTTAATAGCTGAAATACTGTTACTTCTGAAACATTAACTAAACAAAAAGTAACTATCAGTTCATTGATGGAGTTAATCAAACAAAGTCAGAAATTCAGAGTTGAATAGGCAAACAGAAATGAAATCAAATAAGTCGAAGTATTCTGTTGAAAATGTAACACTGGAATGATGAACACAAATAATCTAAAAAATGTAGCCAAATATACGATGAATAAAGTCTGTTTATCGTCAGTTATGTATGTAGACTCGTAAAGATATGTTGCAAGGTCGCAAGGTGTTAAAACCGATAACAGTATGATTCATCAGTTGTATTTATGGGAAAGCGGATGTTCCGTTGCGCGATTGATGTGGCCTCAGTCGATTGTTTGATGCGATAAGACACACTTTGATAATCAGACGACATCTCAGACAATTGACGGACAAGCCATTTGTAGCGACTGATCCCATCTTTTGCATTAACCAATGGTATTCTTAGGGCATTCGTTAATGCTTATCATTTCATGTACTTAGATTGGGCATTACTACGCGCTTTCTGACCTCTTGTTTATTCCTATTGATGCATCCAGATGAAAGTGTCCCTTTGTTGTTCAATTTTCGATTCTTCAAATAAACTCTTAAAAAAATATGCCGGAAGTTTTAGTCGTCATTTTCTTCGAGCTATCTCACTGCTACTGCTCAATGTAACAGACAAAACAATTTTGCACCTGTTCAGTATGAAATTTTGTTCAGATGTTCTCGCATATTTACTTCGACATTTTCGTTTCCATGCCTAATAATTCCTTTGATATAGCTTCTCTTATGTACCGGTTTTTTCTCTTCTTTCCATTGTAACCATGAAGACTGATGACATGTGGCGGTCAAATATAGTGTCAAGTTAATAAGGTCAAATAGTGCTTGCCTGACTTTCATTGATCGGGCGAATTATCATTTTTTTTCAAAAAGTTTTCTTTAGTGGAATTGAGGAACTGTATTTTCGGCAGTTATTCGATCTTGAATTGTTCATGGTCAGTGATATTTTTTGTCCACATTCAAGATTGGACTGCTAATTTTAGACTGTGAATAAATTTTTGCCATACAACTTGAGACGTTTTTGATAACTCCACTTTAAATTCTTTCTTCACCCTTATCTCTACAAAACACTTACTGCAGCGTCATTGAGAGTTAATAAACCAGATACTTTGAATCTTGGTTGTTGCGTTTGTTATCAGTTGAATGATAAGCAATAAGGTGAGCAGTATATAAAGTATGAATCACATCGATAAGGCACGCTATAGACATGAAGGTTCCACACGACTTTGTTTGTTTTGATTATTTCATTTTAATTGGTGTTTACCAATTTAATTCATCTGGCAACCTAACACTGTCGAATCACATGATAAATTAAAGAGGAGTGTTTGCAATTGGCTCGTAAGGTAGCACTTGAATGATGATACTGATTCACGATGCGTGCTTCTGGTAACATCTGGACATGTGGCCTGTTCCGAGCTTCCCGTTTACAATAATTATGAAACCACGAAGAAAGCACACGGTGACATACCTGGAATGGGAAAGAGCCAGTTGATGTATACAGTGGATAATCGTAGTGGCTAGCATTCCCATGACAAAAACAGTTCAGCAAAGATTTTCTACTGAGAAAATCAAAACATATTGAGAATCTGCGTTATTAGTTCGTTTCTAATGGAATAATTTTCGCAATTTTGTTTCCATAATAAAATTGGTTTTTGGATTTGCTGAAGTATTGCATCAATTAAAAAGTCGAGTTTTCATCTGAAAGCGGACAGTATAGAGAGGAGGTGAACGAAGCTGCTACAATAGCATGATGAACTTAATGTTTTGAAATTGCCCAATGATTCGTACTTTGTAACGTTGTCTCACAAAGCTTTTGAATAAATCAACAGCATTTATGAGTGACTGTTGATCAAGGAACAGCAGCACTGATGCACTTCTCCACCGAAACAATTCAAAAAACACTCAAATTTGCTCATTTTCTGTCAATTTGAAGTTTAGTTTCGCGTTTTCATTTTTTCCAATCATGAGAATTTCTCAGCGAACTTGATGAAGAAATTTTCATGGAACATTTCAAAAGCTTCATTTGTCTTGCGTGGATTTCCATCAACTTGAATAGTTGAAAGAAACTTCGTTTCTCAATCGAAAATTCTTCTGTAGTGACGACACAAATCGCTGCGAGTGCAATGGCTTTGGTGGACGAATGCCTGTGCAAGATAATTTAGACGCATTGTATTCAAGAATAAATTTATGAAAAACCAAAATCATCTGCCATAAATGGTCAATGCAATCAATGAACATATCAGTAATCGAGCAACTAAGTAAGTGAAAAACTGGTCATTGTAGACGTGAGACTCTCTACCGATGAATGTCGATGTGTTGCCAATGCGGTCAGCCCAAGTGTTTGTAAGCGTTTCCAGTACTTGTGCACATCAACACCTTCCCAGTTNGCGTTCTCCAATCGATCGAAATATCTGAAATGCTCAGTGATTCTTGAGGTAACCGAAAATTGAAAACGGCTGTTATCAGCGGAAGCGATAATATATTCGTAACAATCACATATATTACAGAAACTAGCATTTATTGCCAATAATGATTAATATCAATTTAAATCGATCAGCTATTTGTTGAAAAGGTACTATGACTTCCACAAACGATTTTCCACAAGAGAGACAGATGTCCATGGAAACAGCAAGTTGGAAAATTATCAGTTGGTTTTGCTTGTAACTTTTATGAATTTTACATAAATGTTTTTCATAATGTGAACAATCAAGTACTTAACAAGTGACACTGACAACAAAAACAACTGAATCAGCGAATACTACTAGCCTTCTCATGATGCGATCCCTGAGTCGCTGTTCTAGATCACTAAGTTCGGTGCATGCGATATCGATATTTGTTAGAACTTGTTGAACACTGTCCATACCGACAACACATGAACAAACACCGGGAAAATTGACTGCATAGTTCAGTGCTAATTTCTCGATTCGAATATTTTTGCTCTAAAAAGTGATATCTAGACTGGAAATTAATCAGAAAAGAATTGTGATAGAGGTTTCAATTTAGTCTCCGGAAGTCAGGCATTGGAAAAAATTGTAGAATTTATTTCCAGCTGCATTTTGAACGCCAGCTGATGTCGTGGAAAGTTTGTCGTTGTAACAATAAGTTTAATCTGTAAAGTCTCCTTGAATTCCAATTAATGAATGGAAAAAAATTTTTTAAAACTGATTATCCCGTTCGATGTGTTTTCATCGAGATTCCTATTTTTGGTGAATTTAATTGGCGGTGAGCAATTGAATTTGATTGAAATCTCACCGAGCAGTACTGAACAGCGGCAAGTGCCGTCTCACGAATGATTTGCGATGCAGGATGCCATGGTGGCGGACCTTTCTCGGTTAATAGACCCATCGATAACGGTGATGCATTCAAGACACCAATATTTCTGGACTAAAATTACACATTCATTTCTTAGAGGGCAACAAGCCATCGGAATGACTATTATAAGTGAGTAGCGTAAGTAATATGGGGCAGTTGCAGGGTTCATGAAATTCACTTTCATGGCGATTTTCCACGATAGAAAATGTGGTACGAGTTCGAAAACGTTTTAGTCGGTTTCAGTTTTCAAAACTGCTCACTTCAAAGAATTTTACAAATTCTCCGAGGGCATTATCGTTCAGTGATGCATGACAGTATGTCATCACGACATCGATTGGTACCGTCGAATTTTCAACCACAGATCTGAAATCGTAAACGGATGTGAAGACATTAACTTGAAGGTGAACAGTAATGGTTGTTAGTTCTCTTCCAGTTCAAAGAAGAGAATGAACTCTCCAGTGGTGACGCTCAGGTTGCAATAAATTACACGAAGAAAATACGGAGAGGTTTGGATGTAACAGATAAGTACTGAAGTAGTTCAAAATTTTGAAAATATTATCTTACGCAAGTTTACGAAGAGGATAGCCTGTTAGACCGATGTAACGAATTTTACCAGAATGTTTCGCTATTTCTAAAGCAGGTAGCGTTTCATATAAGATTATGTTTTCGTGAGGAGCGAATTCGACATCATGGATCTGAAATATGCGATCGAAATGATCAATTTTTCTTCTCGATGTAAAGCTTAATCAATCTATTCGATGTAAAACTCAAATGGAATCTAAAATTGTTGAAAATTCATACGAAAATTTCAAAGCATATCGCATGAAATATATTTTAGTTGTGAAATTGATCAACACATAGAACAAAAAATCTGAACGACAAGGATCATTTTGGGTGGCATTACTGAGGGAGGTCTCACTCATGCGGTAACTCATGACGACATGCACTCTTTACTTGAGCAGCGAATGAGAGATCATTTTTTTTAAACCTCACGGATCACGGCGAGACAACAGTTCAATAGAGTGGAAGTTTTGGTTTGAGGAGGGATAAAATTGACCTGAACAAAGCAGACGTCAATATATGACAATCGGAGTTTCTTGAGACTAGCAGTGAGGTTCTCAAGAATGCGATCGGCTCTGAGATCAAACGATCGCGCATAATCCAGCTCGAAACGACCAACTTTCGTTGAAATATAATATCCTTTTCGAGGGATCTTCGAAAGCACCTTAAATACGCAAGAGATTCAAACAGTTGCTCATGCAGTGTTGTAGTTGATGGAGCATGGAGTTTGATTTTACTGTTGTAATTTATGAAACATTTCACTGCCCCTATTGACAGCTACTCGAAGCGAGCACATTTTATGAGGACGTGGCTGAACAAAAATCTAATAACTGGATCTTTGCTAGAACATAAATCAATGAAGATGGAGGATATCTTAGACCAAAGCGGTCCCAAAGCCATCAATTTGTCTGAAGAACAATTCAGAATTGATGTGAATAGTCGAAATGACATCACGAAAACGAAGCTAAAAAGCAGTGAAAATATCTGACACATAATTTTCATTCTTCCCAAAGCTGTCATCTTGAAGAAAAATATGTTTCGATGGTCATTACTGAATAACACAGAACTAGCCTTTCCAAGAATTTCTTCAGAACGTCCTTGTCCATACCAATAGGCAGTGTCTATAAAGTTAATACCACTTTTAATAGCACATTCCAGAATTTGCGTTATTGAATCTTCAACGTTGCCAAATAAACCTCCAATTGGACCACAACCTAAATAGAGTTTTCCTTTTCTGGACTAATGGAGACTAACTTGTTCAAGTTTCAACTGCAGTAAATCTCAGCGAGTTCAGTGAGCTATGTTTCATTTTTTGTTTCGCACTGACTTCATGCATATATGTATAAATTCACTGCAAATGAATTTATTAAACGCCATAAGACAGTGGGTTATTACCCATTTTGGGTAAGTTGGAGGTGTCAAAGTATAATGGACGGGCCGAGATTTTAGTACTTTGTGCAGTAGTTATGTTATGATAGAATGCCATTGTGGTGGTGTTTTTTAACTCGATTTTAACTATGTACATGCGGTCAGTTGATGGCAACACTCTTTATTCTTATGGATCGTCTGGGCCTAACAGGGTTTTCATTCGTTTTAAGAGGGTTTTCATTCTTTTCCTTGCTGTCACAACCGCTCTCATAGCTTTCATCACCAAAAGTGTTCTCTTCGGCCAATTTCCCATTCATTTCACTCAACAATTAAAGTCAAATTCTCATTCTATCAAATACACCCTATAAGTGATCAGTT